AGGAAAGCACTTGTTGCTGGGATCTCTCCTGAAGTGGCTGCTTATCCAGTGTGCCAAAACTGGTCTCACTCTATGCACCTGAGGGCCAAGGCTTCAAGGCAGTCCTATACTGCCAAGCACTGAAATCTCCGCTCTTCCCCAGAATCTCAGTCCCGGCCTTTGGCGCTGCTCAGTCACTAGTTCACTCGCCCAAAATGTTCCAACCCAAGCCTGGCTCTGTGACCCTGAAGGTGGAGCTTGCAGGGGCGGTTCTCCCACAGTGGCTGTGCATGGCCCACAGCCAAACAATATTAGCTTCGTTCTGGCTCAGTGGCTCAGTCTGAGGCCCTAGACAACACTTAAAGTTATTCGCACTCTCACTCAAGTTCTCCTAAGGTAGTTCAACCAAGTGCCCAAGTCCAAAAACACAAAACAGCCCACAGGGAACACCTTCCCTATTTGCAATCTCACTGCTATTATAATTACAGCTGTGGCAGCCAGAGCCTCAGACCAAAGAAACGGATTACACATTTCTAAAATATATTTTCAGTGAGGTCATGCAAAAAGGAAAAGACAGTGCCTCTGACATACTTAACACTCTGATGATCTAACTATAGTTAGGAGTTTTACTTAAGAATAGTATGTGTGTATCAGAGAGCCAGAGAGAGAGAGAATAAATCATTCCAGTAGCTGGATTGGCCTACACACCAAAACTTCTCTTTGAAGTTTAAATGAGAATTCATTTAATAAATCTATGAGTCATCTAATAAAAGCTGCAGTGCTAATTCCAAGGCACACATACACACAGAGCATTTACACAGGTGACATACATGCATGCACCAGAGAAATTTCTTAACTAACAGCTGTCCTTGACTGAGCTTTACATTCATGATCTCATTTAGCATTTGTCACCACCCTGCAAGGTGTTGGGATCTTCATTTTACAGAGGAGGAAACCAAGTCTCAGATGGAGTGCATAGACGTGGTGGAACCAGAATCTATCCCCAATGTACTTGCTCTTGGTGTCATGCAAGTCACAAATGGTTGCTAAAGAGTTACATAAAATTATTGTACACAGCTATCATTTAATTAAAAAAAGAGTTGTATAAAATATGAACATGGGCAACACATTTTGATGAACATGTGCTGATGGTTTTTATCTGAGGTGACAGAATAATCTGAATTTTCTATTTTGAAATCAGAACTCCTATTTTTCAGTGGCAATTAGTGGATTGACTTCATTTACATGATACTAAAACAATATACCTAACACTCAGGACCAGAGGACAGGTGTTCATGCCAAGAGCTATCTTTTCATTACCCAAACCTTGAAGTATTCCATCCTCTATATAAAGAGGTGTTCTCTTAATTTGCAATTACCCTAGCCTAAAACTATACTGATTGCTTCCCTGAGAGCTTAGTAAGTTCCAAATCTGGAGAATCTCACACCTTAAATGTCTGTCCAGTTAGATCCCACAATCCTAGTTTCTGTCAAAAATCTGTTCTCCCCACACATTCAGAAAACATGAATGAAAAAAAAGGTCAAAGAGAGGGTAGTAATAATGGACAGGCCACAGTTACACCAAATATGTCCAACTGGAAGCCATTAGCTAGAAATATTTTATCTTGAGTCTTACACAAAAACATATGGTGAAGATTTTCCCATTATCATCCCCAACATAGTAAGAAGCAATAGTTTCTAATCACCACTCACTCTGAAGCATTGCATCATCTTTCTGTGCAAACTCATAACCTGTTAACATGCAAATTCTGCTCTAGTTGCTGTGGCAACTAGATTGAGGCCCAAGATTCTGAGTCTCTGACAAAGCTCCCAGATGATGCTGAGTCTGCAGACCCATGAATCACACTGAGTAGTAAGATCATATATGACTTCAATCCATCAGCCGCTTGCCTCGACCCCCATAATTAATGTCATACCAATAAGCCAATCTCAACAGATTAAATACAGATTGACCCATTTCTTGATCTTCAGGGTCCCCTGGGTGTCACTGTTCTGCTCTTGCATCAACCTTCTTATCCACCTACATTAAAATGGTGATGGTCTGTATGCAGAGGGTCTGCCTCCTTCAGAGCTCAGTACTTTTCTTTTTAAAAAAAAAAACAATTGTTGGCTGGGCACAGGGGTTCATGCCTGTAATCCCAGCGATTTGGGAGACTGAGGCAGGAGGATCATTTGAGAACAGGAGTTCAAGGCTGCAGTGAGCTATGACAGTGCCACTGCCCACTCTATCCTGGGCAGACCCCCATTTAGTTCTAGAGGCAGATCCCACAGTGGCAGCTACAGCGCAGTTCAGGTCATGGCCCATTGATCAGTTTATTCACACATTTCTATGGAGACTGGATTATCTGTTCTCTATGACAGCAGCTGTACACAAAAGACATTCAGAAAGAATTATGTTAAATACCTAATGTCCATTTATGAATGTTAACATATATATACATATATATATATATAACTAATATTTCCTCAAATATTTCATTTTCTCAAACAATAAAAACCTTTCAAAATGCATTCTAAAACATGAAACCTAATGCTTTAAAGAAATAGTTTTTCTTACAAGAAAGAAGACAAGGTAAAAATTATAACATATGTGTAGCCTATATCCCATTGAAGTGATATCAGTATAGTTTAACTATACTTTCCAAAGGTGTGAGTAAGCTTGTACCCAGTGGGCAACTTCATGGGCCACAGTCATTGTGATAGCAAGCTTACTTGATGCAGAAGACGTATGGAGAAGATTCTCCATAAGTTTTCCATTGTGCCAAACTGAAACTCAGGAATAGCAGCAAGATCTTGGGAAGCACTTACAGAATAATGCTATCAGTCTCTCAGGTACACATCCCCTAAATGCACTTCATGGTTAGGAACGGGTCTTAGGACAGAAAGCCCGCACAGAGCCATGAAGCTCTAGACTGGGAGAACCTTCCATAACGGAGAAAAGGGGGCTCAGTTACTCAGGGCCACTTTGCTAGCAACACAACAAAGTCAGACTTATGTCTCAGGCCTCCTGCTCCATTTCTAACTTTCTTTTTTATTTTTTTTTTTTTCATTTCTAACTTTCCGACGTAGAGTTTGGGGCACTGAATGATGTTAACAATCATTCCAATAATCCACTCTATTTTAGATGCCCAACACCAACATATAACTAAAAACTCAGACAAGAGTTCTAAGGGTTTATACAAGAAAAAAAATCCAGATTTTCTAACATCATATAAGTTTTTTCATTTAAAAATCTTACCAAGTATCTTCTATGTCCCTGCCAAGCATGTGGAGGTAATGAAAAAGCATATCCACTTCCCTGTGCTGTTTGCCCACTAATCAAATTAGAAGGCAAAACAGTCCCCCTGCTCTGTGCCTCAGGAAGTGTATTAAGATGTGTCATTGGAAGGTCACTGCACAGATCAGAGGTGAGGAAATGCTCACAGGGTAAACCAGATGTCTGACACGTGCTGAGATTATAATACAAGGGCTACTGAGATAAGTGTGGGGTGCAGCAATTATAGTGATCTATAATATGACCAGCCTCCTGGTGCCATGTGACAATATCTGTGTAAAATCTCAACCTAGTTTGGGTAGGGGATACGGTATCCTGAAATAATCCTCATTAAGTTCTAGAAGAGTCACTGCAGCACCCAGGACATAATCCGCTTGATGTACCTTGTCTGGCACAGTATATATGGAAACCTAAAAAGAAAGGCACAGGAAAGGTATTTAAATATCTGAGTAGCTTCCTCCCGCCACCGCATCAGACTGACATTAATGCCTTCACACTGGGGGATGTTGTCACCGATATAAAGAGGACCACTGGGAACCCCATTTCTTATATTAATGCTAACTTTTCCTGATCAATTCCACTTCTGAAAACCTACTGGTCACACACACAAATTTTTCTTCAATGTGTTCACAAGGTAGCAAAAATAAAAGGAAGACTTAGAGGCCAAAGTTGAAGTGACAGCCAGGTTTTACCCTGAGGGCACTAGTACAACACAGCTGGACTTGAGCTTTGGTTCCTATGGCATTGAGGGGCTCAGGGGATAAGAGGCAAAGTCTAGGGCCTGCCCCAAGTGGGAAATTTAATAGGACATACCCCTGCATAAAGCTGGACCTTGACGGCCACACCCCTAGAAGGGTAAATTAGAAATAACCATTCCTTTCTCCAAGCTGGCTGCTCTATCTTCCTTCCTGCCCATAAGCAGAAACTACCTGCTCAGGTATTCAGTAACATTTACTTCCAAATTGTAGAAGGCTATAACTGGAAGCAACCTACAAGTTATTGCAGGGTCCAGTTCCAGTTTGGAAGTACTTATACCTTCCAAAGAAGTAAGAGCTAAGTTCCAGAGGGAGCCAGGCCAAGGTTGGAGAGCCAGGTCACGATGGAGCCAGGACCATGACGCAGGCTAGGCCAGGCCCCCTCTGCATCACTGTTATGAGAGCCTCACTGTGTAAGTGGGCATCTGTCACTCTAGGGTGACCAGCCATCGGATTTGCCTCAGATTGAGGGTATTCCCAAAACACAGACTTCCAGTTTTAAAACCAGGACAGCCAGGTACACCAGGACAAGTTAGTAGGTCACCCTATGTAACAATCATAGGCTCATCTTGACTCTGCTCTTTTTTTTTTTTTCATTAACCAGGGATATTTTCCTTTCTTTAATAAATTATAAATACTTTTCCATTTATTAAAGCTCATTAAAGAACTCCCAGTATTATTTAGTCTTCTCCATTCTTCAGTAATTACATATTCACACAGCAGGGCACCATTTCATATCTTAAATCCAAGGGCTCTCATACACGCCTATGGGCCTCAATGAGGTGTCCACAGTGTTCTCCTTTCTCTATCACATACACATCGTGCGCCTTCTTGGTCTCTGGGCAGGCGCAGCAGGGCTTCAGTGGCTTCTTTTCCTAAGACTCTGACGGGGCAGTGCTTGCAGCCACCACACTCAGCATCTTTTGCGCCAAAAGTAGCTACCTACACCAACACTCTAAACTCTAGTAGCCTCAGCAAGTGCCGTTGACTCTGTTCTTGGCAATCTTGCTGACAGACTCAAAATCTGACATAATGAAGGCCACTAAATAGGTGCTCATCTTCACAATGACATTAAAATGGTCCTCTAAGAGTGCTCTAACACTAGTCACAGATTTCACCTAAAACCAGAATAACTCAAATTATCAAATAATCCACTCATCCTATACACCAAACATGCATTATAAAGAGACATTTCCTAATTACCAGACATAATATTGAAAATAAATGGCATGGCATTTATGTAATTACTTTAAAAGTTCTCTTTCTAGTAGCTAACTGTAATTTAGCTATTAAAGTCAAACCATTCTCAATTTCTTTTTTTATTGAGATATAATTTATGTACTATAAAATTTACCATTTTATTTTCTTGTAGTATAACATCTTTTTTTTTATTAAATCATAGCAATGTACATTAATACTATCAAGGGGTACAGTGTACTATTTCTGTATACAATTTGAAGTACTTTCATCCAACTGGTTAACATAGCCTTCATGTCTTTTTCTTAGTTACTGTGTTAAGATATTTATATTCTACATTTAGAGATTCACATATATGCTTATAGGATGAACCATAGGTGTGATCCCACCAATCACCCTCCCTCCACCCACCCTCCCTCCTCCCCTCACCTCCCTCTCCCCTCTTCCCATATTCCTGGGCTAAAATTGAGTAGCTCCACTGTCATATTTTAAAGATCTTGAAAAAATAATGCTTCATTTTATATGGAATCAGAAAAAACCTTGAATAGCCAAGACATTACTCAGAAATAAAAACAAAGCAGGAGGAATCACGCTACCAGACCTCAGACTACACTATAAATCGATAGTGATCAAAACAGCATGATACTGGCCCAAAAACAGAAAGGTAGATGTATAGAACAGAATAGAGAACCAAGAGATGAACCCAGCTACTTACCGTTATGTGACCTTTGACAAGGCAATTAAAAACTTTGAGTGGGGAAAAGATTCCCTATTTAACAAATGGTGCTGGGTGAACTGGCTGGGGACCTGTAGAAGACTGAAACTGGATCCACACCTTTCACCACTAACTAAGATAGACTCTCACTGGATTAAAGATTTAAACTTAAGACATGAAACTATAAAAATACTAGAAGAAAGTATAGGGAAAACACTTGAAGAAATTGAGCTGGGCGAAAATTTTATGAAGAGGACCCCCGCTCGGGCAATTGAAGCAACATCAAAAATACTGGGACTTCATCAAATTAAAAAGCTTCTGCACAGCCAAAAGCACAGTAAGTAAAGCAAGTAGACAGCCCTCAGAATGGGAGAAGATATTTGCTGGTTATGTCTCCAACAAAGGTTTAATAACCAGAATCCACAAATTTACCATTTTAAAGTGCACAACTCTGTGGTTTTTATTATATTTATAAAGTTATACAACCATCAACACTCAATTTCTTTTAAATAATCCAGGTGATTGCAAACTGATTCATATTTAATACATGTGGATTGGCCACACGGATGGGACAAGGTAAAAGTAGGATTGCTGGTTTTGCCAAGATGTGGTCCACTTGTCCTTAAATATACACATTTGAGACTTACCTGGAAAATATATAACCCAGTATTACCTAAGCTTCTGTTTTTCTCCACGATTAAAAGTCATCTATAGATAGGTCTGATCCTGCAAAGCCTCCTCCAACATCAGATCCTTGGGATCAGCTCGGGAGTAGCCTTGTGGGTAAGAATGGGGTTGATGGAGGTACAGTCCGAGGTCTGCTCCCCAAAAAGAAAGTCTAATACCTCTGCAACAAGAATCACTGAGGTGAAATATTGGAGAACAAAAACAGCCAGAACTAGCCTGGGGAAACCACGTGAGTAGGCCCTTTTCCTGTCATCTCATTCCCATCTCTGTTGCTATCCCCTCATTTTAACACCCACCAGCCACCAGCCACAGCGCCTCGGCTCTCCATTTGGACATTCAAACCAACCACACTAGGCAACCAAAGTCTAGCCTCAAGAAATCCCAAATCATCTTTTCTTTTTAAATACCTCTGTCCACTCCTAATAAAAATGCCCATTTCTGAAGTTCTGTTAATTATTAGGAAACCAACCTGATCAAGCTAATTCACATTAAAATGATGAACTCCTGCCCAAATCCAAACACTTCCATGTTCCAAAGTTTTGTGTTTGGTTTTCCAGCCTCCAAGAAGATCATCTCTTTGAGACCCCACTGTCCTCCCCCTCAGTTCCAGGTCCATAGCCTGAGGTCAGGCCCCTCCTGTTAGATTTATGTACAAGGGGCAAGAATGCGTTAGAGAGTTTCTTGTCTTCACAGGTGGATCCTGAATCCATGTGGATTTAGAGAGCAGCATCTTCTTAGAGCTCCGGCAGATCCTGTCCCTCCCTCTGCATGCCACAAATGTCTCCACTAACCCCATTTATTCCTTCATCTCTCTCAAGTCTCCATCCCACTCCCATTCCCTTATTCCCTGATAGCTATGATTCTCTAAGTAGAAAACTCACTCCTGTCCCAGGAAGCAACACCATAATACTGGAGGAGAGGACCATATTTTGAAAATCATGTGATGTATCTGAAATTTACATTAGGAAAATAACATAATTGTTTATTTTCTTTTCATATACAAGGGAGGGAGGGGGACAAAAGTCCTTGGGTGGTAGGGATTTCCAAAGTGTGTTTTCTACAGTGGATAATTTTCAATCCTCCATAAAGAGGGTTAGAATCTTGTTTGAGATAAGGACCCTTAAGGTATTCAAAGATGGGTATAGAGTTTTAAGGTTGAGAAGTGCTGTGCTAAAGGTATGTCTGTGAGGCTCAGGGTCTCCTCATGCTAAGATATTGTTTCCCTGCCCCGGTAAAGATTGAGCTGGTCATTCTTCAGGACTCTGGGCAAAGCCTACTGTCTTGTCCATGGTGAGCTTCTCTGCACAGGAATGTGCTTCCAGGAGTTAGGGCACACTAGCTGCAAAATCACAGCCCAGCTGACACTTTGCTAAGCTAACAGAATTGGAGGATAAAGGCACTTAAGTGAATAGTTTTATTCACTTGGCACAGTCATCTCACAACTTTCAAAAACCAAAGGGAACATCTACATCTGCTTTGAAAGTAGAGGATAAAGATTTCTTTTAAGGGAAATGAGCTATCCATCACTACTTACACAATATTGTGAGAAGACTACTTTTCTTCTCCATTTCTATCTTCTCAATTTTGTGTACATGTAGTTACAAATCACAGACTGAGCATGTACTATCTGGAAATTATAGAAAATCACTTATATACTAGAAATGTGGCTTTATTCAACAAAGCATTCTCTTTAAAATCCTTTACAAATTTTATGGAAGAAAGTGAAGGTGAAAGTACTTTATGAAAGGCACTATCATTTCAACCTGACCTGAATTCTTCAAGTTTCCCTCCTATCAACATTGATAATCTGGAATATTACTGAAATCCTGTACTTTTCCCGGGTAATTTTTAACTGTTGCTTGTAACAAAAGCATAGATTGGAAATGAAAGAAAAGGAAAGTTAGCAGCTGTCCACCAGGCAAGAAAACAGGTAACCCAAATGTTAACTGTCACTAAGCTAATGCGAGCCACAGAGAATTGACCGGGAGTTTAGACTTACCAAAGGCATATTGAGGTACAAGCACTGCGGCTCCCTTCTGATCTTAATGGAGAAATTTGCATCGAAGCAGGGGAAGGCCATTCTAGCTGTAGTGAGTTCAAACTGTGTTGATGCAAGTATCCTAAAATAATAACAAGTGAAATAAAAATGAGCACAAAGCACCAGAAGCACTAAAATAAGGGCTTGTCTGCTTTTTAATTACTACAGTCACTGCAATATTGATGGATTTCACTACTAAAAAGAGTTTTACATGGCAAAAGCTATCATAAGCTCAATTAAAAGGTAAGTTACAAAAGAGGGAAAATTCATAGAAAAGTATTTAAAGAAGAGTTAACAAATAATGAGCTCTGAAAAATCAGTAATAAAATACCCCACAATCAAGTGGAATCTCAGGGAAAGATCATAAATAAGCAATTCAGAAAAGAAGAAAACACAGATAATTAATAAACATATCACAAGCTGCTCAAGTTCCTTAATCAAAGGAATATAAATTAAAAGGAGATACCATTTTTGGCCTTTTTGCTCTAAAAAGATTGCCAATATACAGCATTGGTTAGGGATGAGGAAATATAACAAGGCATCAAAGGTTGGTAAATTATTTGACTTACCAATTTTATGTCTAGGTACTTATTCTAAAATAATTTACAAGGATGTTCATCAAAGTGTGGCAGATATTGAAAAGTTGGAAAGAATTTAATTTCTACCCATGAGAGATTAAATAATTCATGCACAAACAAATATTTTAATAGTCATTAAAGTGATGCATAGTGATAGTCATGTATATAAAACATCTTCCCAGGCTCAGCGCCTATAGCTCAACCAGCTAAGGTGCCAGCCACGTACACCTAAGGTGGCGGGTTCGAATCCCCAGCCCGGACCCGCCCAAACAACAATAACGGCTGCAACCAAAAAATAGCCGGGCGTTGTGGCGGGC